GTAGTAGTATATATATATATTAGTATATATATATATATATACATATATATATATATATATATACATATATGCTATCTCACATAGGTCGGTATCACAACCTATCGAGACTACATCGAGAATGCATCACACAAGCACTGTGGAACGTCGAACTGAAATACCCATGAAGTATGACTCACAAAATATTGATAAAATAACTATGTGTGATAACAAATGATTGATCCATCATTCCGCTGATGTGAGCTGTAAAACAGAGCGATTTTTCTCAAAGTCAGATTTTAACAAACAACAGTATCCCACTTATGTCGGGCAGTCTAATCGACACACTGAAACGTATCCGTCAAAATGTACATTCAATACTATATCTCGTAGGGTCACACCACATACTCACTATAGTGCCACGCAATAAGCACTATAGTGCCACGCATAAGAGGTATACTCGTCATTGTACAATCAATCCTATGTCCCACAGGGTCACACCACATAATCACTATTGTGCCACGCATAGGTCGTATACCCGTCATTGTACAATCAATACTATGTCCCACAGGGTCACACCACATAATCACTATAGTGCCACGCATAGGAGGTATACCCGTCATTGTACAATCAATCCTATGTCCCACAGGGCCACACCACATATTCACTATAGTGCCACGCATAGGAGGTATATCCGTCATTGTACAATCAATCCTATGTCCCACAGGGTCACACCACATAATCACTATAGTGCCATGCATAGGTCGTATACCCGCCATTGACAATCAATCCTATGTCCCACAGGGTCACACCACATAATCACTATAGTGCCACGCATAGGTCGTATACCCGTCATTGTACAAACTATACTATGTCCCACAGGGTCATACCACATAATCACTATAGTGCCACGCAATAAGCACTATAGTGCCACGCATAGGTCGTATATCCGTCAGCGTCGATCAGAATCCAGTGGCCGCCAAATGCAGCCCTAGATATACAAAATTATTTAAATCTACCATTCTCAAAGCTTCCAGCAACACACACCCCACATCTATCACAATACAGCATTATAAAAAAGCGGTATAGTGAATGTAACATACGCCTAAGCCTGTCGTATCCAGAGCTCTCGAACTCCTCCAGAGACACTTCATCGTTCGGCGGTGTGTTGTATAGTGACAGCCGGTGAGGAAAGCGACCAGAGTCAAGAACCTTGGAATCTCGTACTTGTAGATTCCCACGCCTACGTCGACGGGAGACCTGGTTGATAGCCATCTTGTCTTAGATGTACAGATGCAATGTGAAGTAGTTGTACTGATACACTGTATTCGATATACTAATGAAAAGTAGTGTATGGTGTGCGTGGCAACCGGTATACATACACAATACTGTTATAATCTAGGATTACAAATATGTGTGGGTAACTCGAGAGAAAGTGTACTGAATATATACACAGCTCAGAAAGATTGGGTTACGAACTTCAAAACTTGCTATACAGTTCTATATATTTAAATATTTATAGCTAGTTGTACATGATACAGATTGATTTGATACCTGATCTCATCATATTATATTAAATAACTACAATATTGTTTCTAAAAAATATACAAAATACCGTCTTCTCAGGAACGGAAAATCCCGCCTCAATTGTTTTGGCGGGAGAAAAGCCTTCGCAGAAATACTCACATGTCGACACTCGACACTCCACCCGTCTACCGACAACAACTCGACATTTTTTTTTAGGTAAAAATAAAATATTGCAGTAAAATGCACTCGGTCTTATTTTAAAAAAAACGGTTTAAATACGTCAAATTTAAACGTAAAAGCTAAAATAGACTTCTCGAGTTTGCAGTGTATTTTTTACGTTAAAACGGAAAGGAACTCGTTCATTTTGCTGGCACGCTAAACGTTTACTGCATGGATACAAACTGACCTCCTGCCTACGCCTGGCATATTTACTTCAACTATTTACCGAGAGGCTATGAACATTCTTGAAAACGTACATTTTTTAGGAGGTGATTATTCTGTATTATAATGTACTCTCTAGTCTCTCTAGATAGTTACTGGAGAGTAAGAGAGCTTGTACTATTACACGATGCATTGCACACCCTTGGTCCGAAGTTGGAGCTTCAATACTAATTTTGTATTTAGAACACATCTTTATACAAGAGTACACACATAAGTCACATAGGTACAGGCGGTAACCTGCTACGTGAACAAAGAAGGGATAATAGATAAATATGGAAAGTGCACAGCAGAATGAGGTTGTCGCCCAGCAGATGGTGCAGGCGCTCGAGAAAACTGTGGATGAACAGCTAAATGTATGTGAGCTATTTTTATGTAGTTGAACTAGTTTAGTTGTCAGATTCTCTTTCTGTACTAACTATA